TGTCGGCACCTGTCGATATGTTATTGATGATCCTGCTAGTGGGGGTTAAACGCTAGCACATGTCGGCCCATGTCGATATGTTATTGATGATCTTGCTAGTGGGGGTTAAACGCTAGCACATGTCGGCACCTGTCGATATGTTATTGATGATCCTGCTAGTGGGGGTTAAACGCTAGCACTTGTCGGCACATGTCGATATGTTACTGATAGAACCGGTTCGTTCCTGTAACCCTACTAGTGGGGGTTAAACACTAGTAATTTCTGTTGCCTGTCAGTGGGAGGTTTATAACACTGGCCGTGACCTATAGAGGAGACATCTATTTCGTACTCGTACTGTATCTGTTTTCATGATTACACTTGTTGGCATGCTATGAGTTTAATTAACGGTTTGTCATGAAACGTTTTGTTATTGAACTGAATATGATTTTACATTGACGGTTTGTCATTGAATGCTTTGCAAGTGAACTGAATTTGATTTTGTCATTGAGTTATTTGTTATGTTAAACTGGTTATCAGGCATGTTAAAAGTTTTAACCAAGGGCTATCCATATTTACTTACTGAGTTATCTCATAATTTTCCTTGTCCACCATTTCAGGAAGCGAAACCGAGAATGGGGAAACCGAGGGGAGTGACGAGTTAGAAGGCTAGCCATTTTGAGATTGATATAGATTTTAGAAATAAATTGTGATATTGTAAACTCGACTTTATTGGAGGTTTATGATATTGGAGGAAATTATAAATTTTGATCTTCAGATTTTGATGGTATTAGTTTGTGATTTGAATCAATTCCAAGCCTTGTGCATTCGTGGGACCTTTTCACGAATGCATGGCGTCTGTTGCGCCTTGAATTCGAGTCTTGAGGCGTGACATTGTTCATATCAACTAAGAATTGAAAGAAAAAAACCACGAAATTGATATGAAAGGGAAAACAAGTTCTAATGTAGAGCTTATGTATTCTATCAATGCCAAAGAAATGGATGGTGTTTATCTTGGAGTTAGAGTTGTTAATGAGTTGAGTTATCGTAGAGTTATAAATAAATAGAATTAAACCAAGTTTTTTAGAACTCAAATTCAAGCACGATGTTATATTAATGGTTAGTTGTTAGCTGTACTCAATGCCTTGCCATTGTTCAAAATTTGAGTTATGATACTATCATATTAAAAAAATTTCATCTCCTTTTAAAACAATAACAAGGTTTTAGGCCATCAGTTAAACTATTATACATTATTCTACATATTTTAGTACATTTTTGTCTCAAAATGATTATTATTTTTTATTTTTTTAAAATTAAAAATCTAAAGATAATATATATTTTTA